TTTACTTATATCCAGCTGTCTCCACCTGTCTTTACTTATATCCACCTTTCTCCACCTGTCTTTACTTATATCCACCTGTCTTTACTTATATCCAGATGTCTCTACCTGTCTCCAGCTGTCTCTACCTGTCTCTACCTGTCTTTACTTATATCCAGCTGTCTCTACCTGTCTCCAGCTGTCTCTACCTGTCTTTACTTATATCCACCTGTCTCTACCTGTCTCCAGCTGTCTCTACCTGTCTTTACTTATATCCACCTGTCTCTACCTGTCTTTACTTATATCCAGCTGTCTCTACCTGTCTCCAGCTGTCTCCACCTGTCTTTACCTATATCCACCTGTCTCCACCTGTCTTTACTTATATCCAGATGTCTCTACCTGTCTCCAGCTGTCTCTACCTGTCTCTACCTGTCTTTACTTATATCCACCTGTCTCTACCTGTCTCCAGCTGTCTCTACCTGTCTTTACTTATATCCACCTGTCTCTACCTGTCTTTACTTATATCCAGCTGTCTCTACCTGTCTCCAGCTGTCTCTACCTGTCTCCAGCTGTCTCTACCTGTCTTTACTTATATCCACCTGTCTCTACCTGTCTCCAGCTGTCTCTACCTGTCTTTACTTATATCCAACCATCTCCGCCTGTTTTCACCATTTGCATATTTCATCATCTTCCTTTAGGGCGGCACGGTGGGGTGGTGGTTAGCACTGTTGCCTCGCAGCAAGAAGGTCTTGGGTTCGATTCCGCCCAGCTGCCTTTCTGTGTGGAGTCTGCATGTTCTCCCCGTGTCTGCGTGGGTTCTCTCCGGGTTCACAGTCACAGTCCCACTTGTTCTCTCACAAACTCTCAAACATGTTCACATGACATGATTACCACCATTGTAGTACAACAACAATGACTTTAATGTACAACACACACAAAGCAGAGCGCTTACAACCACAGGCGCTCCCACACGTCTTCTCACAACTGCCGCTGCTCTTCCTCCTCCTCCTCTTCCTCGGCTCCGCGCACGAGTGACGTCCCGCGACACAAGCATCCGTTGCTCTTTTAATAATCCATTTTAGCGATTCATTGTTGCGGCCCTAATTGCAACATTTATGGCGTTACACCCACACAGCAATGCATTGTGGGTAAGTCAACATCCATCCCTGGTGTCTCTCCCCTCAGACAGAGGAGGTGCGGTACTGTCCTCTCTGGTTGAGTATTACCTGGACTCCTCTTCCTCCCAGGTGGTGCTCCTCCTCTCCTCCATCCGAGAGTCTCACCACAAGGTCAGCCCTCATTGACCTCTGATGATGATGGTGGTGTTGATGATGATGATGGTGGTGTTATTGTTGATGGTGATGGTGTTATGATTGATGATGATGATGATGTTGTTGCATTGAGGATGGTGATGGTGATGGTGGTGGTGTATTGATGATGATGATGATGGTGGTGTTATGATGTTGGTGTATTGATGATGATGGTGGTGTTATTGTTGATGGTGTTATGGTTGATGATGATGATGATGGTGTTGTGATGCTGTATTGATGATGTTGTTGCATTGAGGATGGTGATGGTGTTGATGATGGTGTATTGATCCCTAACCCTCAGCCACTGCTGGAGAAGCTCAATGAGTCTCTGAACCGACCCGGGTCCAGACTGGCGGGTCTGACCCTGCTGGGTCACCTGATCCGGAACCAGCCCCCATGGGTTCATCACGTGAGCCGCTCGGCTCTGCTGCCCTCCCTGCTGCGCTGCCTCAAGGTACTGGGACTAGTACTGGAGGTGCTATGAGTACTCATTCAAGTACTCACACTATAGTACTGCTGGCGGTGCTAGTGATAATTGTGGTACTACTTGCATAGATACTTATTATGGGACTGTGTCCTCAGACTGAGACAGACGTGGTGGTCCTCATCACAGGGGTCCTGGTCCTCATCACCTTATTACCCATGATGCCTCAGGCCGGGAAACAACACATCTACGACTTCTTTGATGTGTTCGGACGCCTTGTTTCCTGGAGCCACAAAAACCCTGGTAAACAAGACAAACGCACACTTACACTCTAGAGACAGACACACACACAAGGAGACAAACACACACCCACAGAGATACATATTTGAAACATAAGACATATGATAAAGTGTGACCCTTCCTCTTTAAGCTCTGATTGGCTGCTCCTCCTCCCCTCAGGTCACGTACCTGTGGAGCACCTGGTGCACCTCCATGCAGGTGTGTACTCTCTGTTCCATCGGCTCTACGGGATGTTCCCCTGCAACTTCATCTCCTACCTGAGGCTCCACTACAGCATGAAGGAGAACCTGGAGTCCTTCCAGGAGGTCGTCAAGGTGAGGGGGACCGGGGCAGACCTGGAGGGACCTGGAGCGACCAAGAGGGGCGGGAGATACTGGGCCGACACCGGAGTAAAAAATACATTAAACGGGACATTTATTAAATAACGTTTGCAAACAGGAGACCGATTGACACAGATACACGTCACCCGTCCGGCTGCTCAAAGGTCGTCTTCTTCGGAGCGGAATATATACAAGGAGGGTAAACATGCTAAAGGGGGGGGGCGACCTCCACAGACAGACATCTTGATCATCAGATGCCTCTGAGAGCACAGACTAAGGACATTAATCAACAGGGGACCGGGAGGAACCGTGGGGACAGGGGGGACAGGGGGACAGGGGGGACGAGTAAAGAGGTGTGTTTGACTGTGAATGATGATTGGACCAGTTTACATGTCGCTATGGTAACAGCTGCTGGACTGTTTCTCAGATGACAGGAAGCCGGTTTGTGTCCTGATCTCTCAGAACTACATTACCCATAAGTCATGTAGCCATGGCTACAGGTTTGGTCTGTGGTCCTCATATGAAGCTCTGCTCCCTTTAAGGTGAATCACAGCCCTCATTCAGGAGGAACGGAACGTATTCTCTGATTTATTGTGAAAGTAGCTGAAGTTTAAACGTAAGGCTCCTCCCGTTTCCTCCCTGCTGTTACGTATTAAAGATTTGTTTTCCTGAGACACTGTCTGTCTGCTCCTTTGTCTCTCAGCCGATGTTGGAACATGTCAGGGTTCATCCAGAGTTGATCACAGGGACTCAGGACTATGAACTGGACCCGTCCAGGTGAGTCCACGAGTGAACCAAACCTGAACTGAATGATTCATTCAAATTAAGAAGGAAAACATGTGTTGTGTTTGTCTCAGGTGGAGGTGTTATGAAGTCCATGACATTGTGATCGAGTGCTCCAGAGTGTCTCTAGATCCTCTGGAGTCCTCCTGTGAGGAGGACATGTACTCGTTCATCAGAGACCCTCCTGCCTCCCCTCAACTCACCCTCACCTTGAGTCCTCCAAACAGAGAGACCCTCAGCAGCCCAGGTAACACACACCCACCTGGAGCCCAGGTAACACACACACACCCGGAGCCCAGGTAACACACACCCACCTGGAGCCCAGGTAACACACACACACACCCTGGAGCCCAGGTAACACACACACACCTGGAGCCCAGGTAACACACACACACACCTTGAGCCCAGGTAACACACACACCTGGAGCCCAGGTAACACACACCCACCTGGAGCCCAGGTAACACACACACACACACACACCTGGAGCCCAGGTAACACACACACACACCTGGAGCCCAGGTAACACACACACACACACACACACCTGGAGCCCAGGTAACACACACACCTGGAGCCCAGGTAACACACACACACCTGGAGCCCAGGTAACACACACACACCTGGAGCCCAGGGTAACACACACACACACCTTGAAGCCGAGGTAACACACACACCGGGAGCCCAGGTAACACACACACACCTTGAGCCCAGGTAACACACACACCTGGAGCCCCAGGTAACACACACACACCTGGAGCCCAGAGGTCTGTTTCAAGAAGCAGGTTTTGTGTAAATATATATATTAGTGAATATAGTGGTTGCCATGGTAACTGGTAGTATCGTGGCTCCATTCATGCTGCCTTCATACTGTGATGCTGCACGCGCTCAACTCTGAGTCAACCGACTCCGAGTTGATTGAACCAACTGTTCTGAAACCAGAAACCCAGTTTGTTAAACCTCCCACTTGAAACGGACGCTGGTAACACACACTGCTGGAGCCCATGTAACACACATATTAAATAAGTACTGAGTTGAACTTTCAAAGATTGATTATTGGTTGTTGTGATTGACAGGTTCAGTTTGTCCTCAGCTTCTGTCTGAACGTCTGACTTTGAAGGAGCCGACACTCAGCAGCTCCTTCCTACAGGTAGATTTCCTCCTAACTTCCTTCTTTCCTTCCTTTGCTTCCTTCCCCTGCTTACGACCTATTTGTGTTCAGGCTGATGATGTCACATGGAGTCCCTCCTCACGGTGTGGTTTGTCGACGCCCCCTCCTGAACCTGCTGCAGCAAGCCCCTCCCCTCTGAGCAAGACCGCCTCTATCTCAGGCGAGTCCCTAATTATGTTGTTTTGTCATGAGCTTATTATTATATATTATATGTACACAGCTTAGAGGTTCAGTCACTCGCTTGATTATAGAAAACTATTTAATAGTAAACATGTGTCATCTTGGACTCAAACAGAGACATTTAGGGCGATTTTGTCCCTTTAACGTTTTGCATCCCCATAGTTTGTTTGTCTGATTCATTTATGAGAACAGGAAGTTGCTCTGAGGATCTGATGTCTTCGCCTGTGACTGTTCTTAAACTGTCTCCAGGTGTGAAATGTCCCTCATCAGCAACACCGCTGACTAACCACATCCAAGATGGCCGTCCCAGCAATGACCAGGTGAGCGCAGGAGGACGGCAGGTAGCCGTGATGCTTCGTCGTCCTCACGGGGGGGTTGATTGTGAAGGAGCCTCTCTCCCTTCCTCACAGGTTAAGCTGGTCACACAGCTGGAGGCGTCGTCCACTCAGCCAATCACAGAGCTGGAGGCAGGAGGCCAGAGCGATGACATTAATGACCTCAGAGAAGGTGAGTTGACCAGCTACATCTCCCGTACCGTAGGGAGGAGAGGAGTTATTGACCTTTTATGTTCCTCTCGGTTTCTCGCAGACGTCCGACCCCAGCAGCGTTCCTTTAGCTCCACCCCCGCCTCCTTTAGCTCCACCCCTGCCTCCTTTAGCTCCACCACCACCTCCTCCTCTCAGCCGTTCCTCCTCACCTCCACTCCTCGTCGTGGCGAGGCCTCCTCAGTTTCATCGCTCCCCTCCCATTCGGGCTCCGTCTCACCCTGCTTCACCCCCCAGGGGTCAGAGAATGGAGGCCACGCCCCCTCTGGCCACAGCCCCGCCCCTCCGTACGAGCTCCTGTTTGAGCTTGCTCTGCCACGAGCCGCCATGCTCTTTGTCGGGAGGATGAGACAGGTGAGCCAGTGGTTAGTCAGGTAACATATATATATATATATGTATATATATATATATATATATATCATATATTAGGGCTGTCAACATAAACACATTCATCTATGCGATTAATGTGATCAAGATTAATGCGGCAAAATATTTGAACGTACCTTTGTTGTTTAGCGCAGAAACAAAACGTCTGCTAACGTCAGTCAGTTACATCGGAGTAAGAAAGACGCTCAAAGAATATAAAACGATTAGAGGAGAACATTCATTGAGTTGATCGAGATGAAGGAGTTTCAAAACGTGCGATTAATATATATATAAATGTGTGTGTGTGTAGATGGATATATTATAAGATGAGGACAGAGAGAAGGAGCCCCCCCCTCCCCCCCCAGAGCCAGCAAGCAGCTGACCTTCAAACTGATAATTCTAGAAAAAAAGATAATTGTCGGTGTCAATGAATAAATGATGACGATGATGATAATTATTATATTAATTATTGCCGTTAACGTGTCCAATATTCAAACATATAATATTAATTTACTGAACACATAATAGAGACGTATTTAAACACAATGTCAACTAATAATCACACCTTTTTATTAAATTACAGCAGTTAATAGTTAATGTTGATTGCTGACATTATTATTTAATTATTATTAAATGTTGATAAAGTGTCTTCAACAGAAACATTTGTAGAAAACTTGTGCGGAACCAAAATGATGAAACATCTCATTTTGCCTTCAGTTAAAATACTACAGCTGCTAATTGATTAATTGACAAATTAAATCATAATTGTTTGTAAAAACAATGATCTCATCCAGTAGATCAATATTTATCTAATCGTGTAGATTCACGTGAATTCATCATTTTATGATGAGCATTTGTGTCCCGCAGGAGGCTCTGAAGAGAGGAGGAGGCGGAGGAGGAGGCGGAGGAGGAGGAGGAGGAGGCGGAGGAGGAGGAGGCGGAGGAGGAGGAGAGGAAACTTCCACCTCTCCTCTGGAGGTTTTGGATCAGCTCATTGTCCACGGACATGAAGTCCATGACCACCTCAGCAGAAGGTGAGACTGTTAACAAGGAGCCGCAGGGTTCTAGATAAGACACACACAAATAAGTCTGTGTGTGTGTGTGTGTGTGTCAGGTTGTCAGCAGTGAACAAGTCGATGGAGCGGACTCATTGTGGAGGTAAACAGCAGAGCATGAAACCCAAAGGTACTAGAAACTAACAGTGATGTCACTCATCATTCACCTCATTAGCATCATGGATCTAATCTGATTCACTGTGTTTTCATCTCACATCATTAACCTCATTCAGCTCATTCAAATTATTACAGAATGTGAAACTGAGAATGTGGGTAAACGTGCAGTGGACCGTGTGTGTGCTAGGCCCCGCCCAGGGGGAGGAGCTTCAGTCCCTGAGGAGTCAGCTTTTGCTGGTCCACAGTCAGCTGCAGTACGAACGCTTCAAACGGCAGCAACACGCCGTCAGGAACCGCCGCCTGCTGCGGAGGGTCATCAACTCCACCGCGCTGGAGGAGCACGCCGTCGCCATGGTAACTCCTCGTCAAAGCGCCGCGCATCTCATGAGCACGTCACTGTGAAGAGTGGTGATATCTGTGAACATCCCACAGAAGGGGCAGCTGAGCCTCCAGGACGAAGAGATTCGCTCGCTGAAGTCGAGTCTGCAGGACGAACGCACACGCTACACACAACTACAGCACGACACACACACACACACCAGCAAGCTGCACACGCACAACCAACAGCTGCTGCTGCAGCAACAGGACCAGCAGAGAGACAAGCAGAGACTCGAGGTACTTGTACAATACTAGTACGCACTGAGACACCCACCACCAGAATGAAACGTGTTGAGCAAGACACCCGACCCCCCACCCTCAGCTAAATGACATGTGATGTAACGTTACAGAGTGAACTCCAGGAGCATCAGGGCAGCTTGAAGCACCTGGAGGCGGAGCTTCAGAAGGCGAATAACAAGGCTTACAATGCACAACACCAGCTGACCCAGCTGTCACTCAAGGTAGGGAGAAATGATGTCTTCCTGTGTGTGTCTGTGTGTACTTGTGTCCTCCTGTGTGTGTGTACTTGTGTCCTCCTGTGTGTACTTGTGTCCTCCTGTGTGTGTCTGTGTGTACTTGTGTCCTTCTGTGTGTACTTGTGTCCTCCTGTGTGTAAGCCTGTGTGTCTGTCTGTAGTTGTGTGTCTGTGTGTACTTGTGTCCTCCTGTGTGTAGTTGTGTCCTGTGTGTAAGCCTGTGTGTCTGTGTGTAGTTGTGTCCTCCTGTGTGTAGTTGTGTCCTGTGTGTAAGCCTGTGTGTCTGTGTGTAGTTGTGTCCTGTGTGTAAGCCTGTGTGTCTGTGTGTAAGCTTGTGTGTCTGTGTGTAGTTGTGTAGCAGTGAGCAGCTGCAGCAGCAGATCTTCTTGTTGAACCAGCAACTCGTCCTGCTGAGAGAAACCAACAGAGCTCTGTGTGAGCAGCTGGAGGCCGGAGACACACACCATCGCACGGTGAGGACACACACACGTCCGTTAGAGGTCCTTTCTTATACAAATGAATCCAGCCCCGATGTCACGCGGGTCAAAGACATATCTCATGCAGTGATTGGCGTGGCGTTCAGGGACCACCACGTACTTCTCAGTCTGCGGTGTGTTCCTCCTCCAGGAGGCTTCCATGCTGCAGTGCACCGTGGGTAACGAGTACCAGCGGCTGAAGGACAGCGACGTCCAGCGGAGGCAGAAGCTGGAAGCAGCCAATCACAGGATAGCAGAGCTGGAGAACCAGCTGGCCAAGAAGGACCAGCTGATCCTGGATCACAAGAAGCTCCTGGAGGACACCAAGGCCCAGGGAAGGTCAGACCCACAGCCACTTGGCTCCTGATGCCCCAGATCACGTGACCACTTATTTAGTTATTCAATATGTATAAAACAACAGACTGAAAATAGTGCAGAAGTAAAAGAACCGAATAGAAAATGAATAATGTGTAAAAAGAACAAGTAATAGTAAACAGGAAGTAGCACTGAGTAAAGATACAGTTGAGAGGTCTGAGTGACAGCTGAGTGAGCCCCTTGTTGCTGCAGGGGGGGTCTGTCTGCCTGCGAGAGCCGCTGTGCGT